AAAGTGTTCTTCCCCTGCAATCGTGCGAAGAACGCTCGGCGCAAAGTCTTCGAGGGCCCCATCGCGGCTTTCTGGGATCGGCGCTGGGCGGATCTCTCGGCCCCGTTCCCACCAGCGGGTGAAACCACGATGGCTCAAGCTGGCTCAGCACATTTTTTATTGTGGAGGTGGCGCGACGGGAGTCTCTCTGCCGTGGAGCTGGGGAATGGCTGCGGGAGGCCCCCCAGCGAGAGCTGGCGGTGGGCAAGAGAGCGTCGGACAGGGAGGCGGCAAGGCAAGGGCTCGGCGCTCGGCCGCCTCGTTGTCGCGCCGACCTCGCGTGGAGCGGGCGGCAGGCCTGGACGGCGAGCGCGCAGCGCGTGCCGCCGAGGCCACCTCCGCTTCGTCTGGGCGTGCCAGCGGAGGTCGAGCAGGACCTTAGGGCGCGCACGGAGGCTCTAGGGCATGCTCTCCTACTGCACCGGCTTGCTGATGATGTGCTCGGGGCCCCCAGCATCGACTCGGCGATGCTCCTCGAGCACCTCATCGTGTTCTCGGCCCGTCTGAAGAGGTGTTCGACTCGTTCAAGCAGGTCAAGTTGCCAGCGGGACAGGGCTCGGCATCTCCCTGTCGGAATGGGCGTGCTGCCAGTTTCGGGCTCGCTGGAGCTAGCGGTCCGTTCGTTCACCTCCAACCCCGACGCGCCCGAGATCGTGCCGACATGGGAGCCGATCGACCAGCACAAGGGACCGTTCGAGGTGCGCTCAGCTGGCCTGGTGTGCACCTGTGGTTCCACCGTTTTATCTTCGGCCCCTTGTGGCGCGGTAAGAGATGCAGCAGAGGAGGAGATGCAGCAGACCAGTTCCCGACCACTGGCGTACCCCCCGCCATGATCGTGGGCTCTGAGGGGGCATCCGCCGCTCGTCCGTGATGGCAGTTGTTGTTGGTCCCCCTCCCACGCCGGAGAGACCCAGCTGCGCGAGTGCCAGGTCGTGGATGTCCAGGGAGTCCAGCGCGAGCATGTGGTTGCGTCCCGTTCCTGGGTGTCGAACGGGCCATCCTTTCGGCCCCGGTACTGTGCACGACGGTCGAGCTCAAGAGGGTGAAGTTGCGGTCCATCCAGCTCCTGGGGCGACCTCGGTGCCGCGAGGGCTGCCGCCGGACCCCGGCGAGGGTCTCCTCTTCGCTTGACGTATGAAGCGTCCCCCAGTTTCCTGCGTGTGGCTATTCTGGAACATCTGGCTTGTCAGGGTGGCGTGCCCAAGGAAGGGGCGGAAAGGGCCACTCTTGCGTGCAGCCGCAGGGTTAGAGGCCTCCCAGATGGGGTCGGAGGATCGCGCAAATCGCGTGCCTCTCCTGTCTTTTCCTCGGCATCTCCCCCAGTGCTGGAGGCGTGCTGCATGGGCTCTGGAATTTCCCTGCTCGTGGGCGTGGGGCGAAGCCTCAGCGGGAGCCGCCCAGGGTGCGGACCCGTCGAGGGCGGAGCCGACCTCCACGATCGAGCTCGCGTGTCAGGGCGCTCCGGGCCGTCTCAGCAATTCCTTAGGAATTCCCTCTGCTGGCGTATGGTCTGTGGAGGTGTCTCGCTCCCTCTCCGTCGTGTTCTCCGTACTCGGCCCGTTCGAGATCACGTGGGGGGCTGAGGCCGGGGAGCTGTTGCCAAGGCAAGAGGGAGGAGGAGGGGGGAGGAGGAGGAGGAGGAGGAGGAGGAGGAGGAGGAGGAGGAGGAGGAGGAGGAGGAGGAGGGGGAGGGAGCAGGGAGCAGGGAGGAGGAGGAGGAGGAGGAGGAGGAGGAGGAGAATGAGGAGGAGGAGGAGGAGGTGTTCTCCCCCCGCCATCTTGCGAAGAACGCTCGGCGCAAAGTCTTCGAGGGCCCCTCGCGGCTTTCTGAGATCGGCGCTGGGCGGGTCTCTCGGCCCCATTCCCCGGCGCGCCAAGCGCGCCAGGGACGGGGGCCCCAGCGCAGATGCAGCAATGCCGAGCGGGCTGGCGAAAGTATATGAGTATGCCATTATCTAAATATATTTATCTGTCTCTCTCTCTCTCTCTCTCTTTCTCTCTATCTCTCTCTCTCTCTCTTTCTCTCTCTCTCTCTCCTTCTGTAGTCGGGGACATGTGAGGCTCAAGTTTGTCGTGAGTCGGGTTTGCCGACGCTCTCGGATGGCCTCGGCATAAGTTAAAGGTTCAGTTTTTGGAGGATGTTTCTGCAGCGCGGAACCGCGTCAACTTTCGGTCTGAAGCCCGCCTTTTTTCAAATGAATTTTCTGACCGGCCCCGTCAGAAAAATGATTTTTCGCACGGCCCCGACAGGCGAATTCTAGATCCCCAAGCTCGAGCCTAACTCAGGGGAGCGAGATGTCGTGATAAAGGCACGCCCCGAAAATTCCAGCATTTCTGCGATCTCCGACTTCTCGCGCATGGGTTCCAGAAGCGAGGAAGTCTGGGACCCCTGGAGCATACCCTTGCGTCTGCCGAGCTGACGTCTCCAATCCGCAGCCCCAGAGGTCACGGCCGCTTCCCCATGGGTCGTATTTCGTCCCGGGCGCATTTTTGATGGTCCGGGGATCGGGATCGGGATGGGGATCGGGCCAGGGGTAAAAGGAATAGGGATAGGGATTGAGGGATACGGACGGCAATGGGAGGCCGCGGGAGGACATTGGAGGCAACAGAGGGCAACGGGGGGCGACAGGAGGCAACGGGGGAGGCCACGGGAGGCAACAGGAGGCAACTGGGGAGGTCACGGGAGGCAGCGAGAGGCCGCGGAAGGCAGTGTCGCCCGCCCGATCTCTGATCCGGTATTTCATGTGCTGGACCCTAGACGGGGCAGGATAGATCCCAAATAGATATCAACCCGGGTATATATAGTTCCAGGATTATTGACTGATGTCTCCCCCGGAGCATGATGAACCTGGGTTTCAACGTTCTGGGAATATTGATTGGGGTTCAGAATGTTCCCCCCCGGAACAGTATCAACCCTGGTTTCTAATGTTCCGGGGATATCGACGAAAAACCATATTAATTTGGGTTCATCATGTTCCAGGAATGTTGTTTGGGGCTCGCAATGTCCCAGGAATAATGAACCCAGTTTTCGTAATTCCGGAAAGATTATAATCACTATTTCCCCCCAACCTCCGGGCGGGTTTCCCACCAGGTTCATCATGTCGGAATATTGACCCCGGCTCATTATCTCGAGGAAATAATAACCCGAATTCGTCCTTCTCCTTCTCTCTCTCCTCCTTCTCCTGCTCCTCCTCCTCCTCCTCGTCCTCCTCGTCCTCCTCATCCTGCTCATCCTCCCCCCTGGGGGGGGGGGGGGGGGGGGGGGTACCCCCACTCAGTTACGAACTAGAAACATCGAGGTTCGCGTAATCGAAGGCGTCACCCCGCGGCCACCTCAGCGAGGTTCGTACAGCGAGGTTCAAAAACAAAAAACGCGAGGAGACTGAAAAACAAACCTTCAAACACAAAGGGATTCGCCAGGTCACACACATATATTTGTTATACATGCATCTATACATATATATATATATATATACATATGTATGCATGTAGGCTTGCATGCATGCATGCATGCATGTGTGCATGTATGTTTGTATGCATGTATGCATGTATGTATGTATGTACATAAGTATGTTTGTATGCGTATATATATATATATATATATATATGCATGTGTATAGACACATTGTCATTTACCTATACATAATATCATATCTATATATACTTGAAGATATATGCTTACAAGCAGGGGGGGGACAACTCCCCCATCCCTCCACCCCAAAACCGGACCCCCAGGATCCGGGGGTTCGGGCCCCCCGGACACCCTTGCCAAAAGGTCCCCCGGCTCGTCCCAGACCTCCCAGGGCGCTTGGAAACCCCGCATGGGCCAAAAACAGGCCCAACAGGCCCTCACAAGGCCCCCAAGAGAAGCCCGCGAAGGCCATGGGAGGCCCCCCAAAAAGGCCTTGGGAGCCCACCAGTAGGGCCCACGTAGTCCCCGTGAGTCCCTAGAGGGCCCAAGCTCCCCAACACGGCCCAAGATGGCCCCAGCACGGCTCGAGAGGGCCCCAAATTGGCCCACCAGGGCTCCGACAAGGCCCACACGGCGTTTTCCATCAAGTTGTCCCGAATCCCAGATTCGCAACCTAATTTCCCGGAAATCTGTTGCGAACCCGGGATTCGGTGCATTCCCGAAGAATTACTTACTTTCGCGCACCCCGCTGCGACCCGCTGCAACATGACATCCTCGACGCGCATTGCGTTGTACTTTGCGGCGTTGCTTGACATTGCGTCGGCTTGCTTGGCATTCACTCGCGTGGCTTGCCATTCCTTCGCATTGCGCACCAGGGCACCTGAGCCACAATCGAGCCAATGTGCAGGCTCACCCTTTCGTCGTCATTAACTACTAGACATTTCTGCCAGCGTACACGTATACATGAAACCGTAGCCATTGGCTTCTGGACAGCGCTCCTCGGCGCGGCGCACCCGAAATGTTCGCCGTCACAATACGGCACCATCTCTTTCCCTCCTCCTGCTCTTCCTCTGGGTCCTCCTCCTCCTCCTCCTCCTCTTTCTGCCGCTCCACCGCTCGTCTTCCCTCGCATCCGGTTCCATTTCCTCGCTCCCCGAAATTCCCTCCCTCCTATCCTTCGCCCTCTTCGGCGCCTTTCGGGAGCCCCAGGAGGCCCGGGAAAGGCCACGGACCGCCCGAATTTGCGGAGACTTCCGACAACCACCGCAGGGAAGGGGCCAAAATTCAAAGGCCCCTTTGGGATGGCGCGAACGACCAACATAGGCAAAGCCTCCAGGACCAAGGTGCATGGCGTGAAGCGCCAATGCAGTCTTCTATGTATGCATTTGTGTATAAACACACATGTTTACACCTGTATGTATATATATATATATACATACATATGTTCGAAGCCCTTGCGGACAAGGGAACGGTGTCGGATGTCCAGGCATCCTGAGCCAATATCTCATCATGGCGCCGTCCTCGCCCTGCCCGCGCCTCCCCGGCGCAGGCCAAGAAGCTGTGGGAGCTGAGCGCGCGGGCGGTCGGCCTGGCGTGACTGCCGGCGCCACGGGCCCGGGGATGCCGGCGCCCGCAGCGCGCGCGCGCGCAGCTGCGGATCCCTCGCCGCGCTGGCGCCTCGCCCTCTGGGCCTCCCAGATAGGGGAACGACAAATGGCACGAACCGACAAACTCGGAGGTCCGCGCGGATTCCTTGGATCCGCGCTGGACCCCTTGGCCCTTGCCCTGGCGCGCGGGGCGCGCCGGGGGCGGCACCGGAGGCGCCGCCAGGGGGCCCCGGCGCCGACCCGAGAAGTCCGCGCGGACCTCCGAGTTGTTCGCGTTTATGTCATTGCTAGTTTCCCTACCATCGGGCGAAGAGAACTATGCACATGCACCGATCCTGGCAAGGCCCATCCCTGACCCAGGATCGGTGCATATGCCTTCCTGGCCAAGGCAGGAGGGCGTATGCACCGATCCTGGGCTCAGGATGGGCCAGGCCAGAATCGGTGCATGTGCATAGTTCTTTTTCCTCTATACCAGAGGGAGTCCGAGCAGACGGGGTCGGAGGATCGCGCCGCATCGCCGAGGCATCGGCGACGCTCGGGGGCGGCAGAGAGGGGGACGATGACGAAGTTGGATTGTTTCAATGCGACCCCTGCCCGCCCCTGGGTCGCGCACGTGCCGCCGGCCATGATTTGCGCCCCCCCTTTTTTGGACGCCCCCCTCTTGGACGCCCCCGATATGCGATTCGATGTGGAGGCCCCGCCTTCTTGGACGCCACCCTTCTTGGACGCCCCCCTCTTGGACGCCCCCGATATGCGATTCGATGTGGAGGCCAATCTTCTCCACGCCGACGTCGCCGATGCATCGCCGACATCAGAGAGGCAAGCCCCGAGCTCAGTTGCTCGTTTGAGGGGCCTTCCTGGGGACTGCCAGAACACACTAGGCTTAAGTCGGTTCTGTCCCTCTACAGGGGGAATGTTCAAATATTGTTAAAAATAGTCCAGGGGCGATCTTTTTTAGTATTCCTTGGTGTTTATTGGCATGTTTTATGTGTTGTTGATTTTTCGACTGTAGAGGACATGCCCGACATGTGACATTTGTTGTTCAATGTTTTATGCTTTGGGGCATTGCTTTGGCATCCGCCTGTCGGGAGACATGCCCGACCTAACACCAGGCCTCCCAGATGGGGTCGGAGTGGATGGAGTTGGGGGATCGCGCCGCATCGCCGATGCATCGGCGATGCGGCGCGATGTGGAGCCCGATTTTCTCCACGCCGACGTCGCCGATGCGTCGCCGATGTCGACGATGCGTCGCCGGTGCATCCTTGATGCATCGCCGATGCATCGCCGATGCATCTCGGCGATGCGGCGCGATCTTCCGACCACATCTATTCCGACCCCCGATAGGAGGCCTATATTCGGGCTCTCGTTGCCCTCCCGGGACCTGAGGACCGTCAGAATACGGTTACACGCTTGTCGTTGGAAGTTGGTATTTTGGGATTCCCAGGTCTCCTCCTCCTCCTCCTCCGCCTCCCTCCACCCTCCTCCTCCTCCTCCTCCTCCTCCTCCTCCTCCTCCTCATCATCATCATCATCATCCTCCTCCACCCTCCTCTTCCTCCTCCTCCTCCTCCTCCTCCTCCTTCTCCTCCTCCTCCCTCCTCGTCCTTCTCCACCTCCTCCTCCTCCCTCCTCCTCCTCCTCCTCCTCCTCCTACTCCTCCTCCTCATCCTCCTGCTCCTCCTCCTCGGGTCGCCTACGGCCCTGGGGGAAACCGTGCATGGTGCCCTCCCTGTGCCCCGGGAGTGTCGTTCAGTCGGGCATGTCCCTCTACAGGAGGAGTGTTCGAGAATAGTCCACAAATTCGTCCAGGGACTATGTTTCGACTATTCTTTGCTATGTTTGAGCATTGGCCACTTTTATTTGCTATTATTTGCTATGTTTGCTAGTCTTAGTCCAGGGAGGAGGAGGAGGAGGAGGAGGAGGAGGAGGAGGAGAGGGAGGAGGAGGAGGAGGAGGAGGGGGAGGAGGAGGAGGAGGAGGAGGAGGAGGAGCATGAGCATGAGCATGAGCATGAGCATGAGCATGAGCATGAGCATGAGCATGACCGTGGGGCGCGTCCCAAGTGCTGGACCACTGAGCTACAAACCACAATTCACAGCAACCTGCAATCTGAGGCGCAGCAACTCACATAGCAGCAAAAGCAGATGCGCCTGGGTTCTCCGTGAGGAGGGCGAGACAGGTGCCAGGCGTGCGCAGCTGCGGCCGTGCCGCTGAAGGCCTGGCAGCGAGCCCGTTGGCGCGCAGCCTGCGGCTGCTGCCAAATGGCACCACCTTCAGGAATCAACTCCTGCTGGGTGCACCTCGTCCTTTCCCGTTCCCTTTGCGACGACGGGGGGGAAGTACTACCGCAGGCCCCACTTCGGGAGCCGCCGAGAAAGTATAAAAACTAGGGTTGTGATTGACAGAGGCCGTTTCGGGACCAGGAGCGGGCTCAAGAGGAGAGGGGGCGATCTCCGAAGGAGCGGAGGGAGCAACTGGTCCCGAAACTCTCAAAGCACCGATTTCAGACAGCAAACCCAGTCTTAAGAGCTGCTGAGCCCTACTGCTGTCTGCCCAACTGAACTGGCCTGGCCTACTTCTCACTACTTGATCGTGTCGAGGAGCCTCTGGGCCTCGCGCGCCAAGAGACGCCCCTGGGAGCCCCGCCTCTGGTCTTCGTGCCCCCCCTGCGCCTGAAGGACGGCCCGCAGGCTGCTCAAGACCCGGCTCGCCACCTCCGCGGTGCCGTCCAACAAGAACTGCACCTTGGCCTGCCCCTGGTTGTTCTTGTCCTTCGTCTTGGCGCGCTTCACCTTGCAGAAGCGGACGTACTTGTGCAGCTCGTTGGGGTCCTTGCACGGGGCCACCACCGTCTCCCACGACTTCATGCACGCCGCCGCCTCCTTCGGCGGCTCCTTCTCCCCCTCGTTCAGCGGCTGACAGGCCCCGAAAATAAGCGCGGAGAAGACTCTCAGAAACGGCGCGCACATCGAGACCTTGTCGAACGGCTTGCCCGCCTTCTGGGCCTCCTTCTCGAGCTCCCTCTGCGTCTGGGCCTCGCTGTTGAACGCCTGGTTCTCCTCCAAGGCCTTCTCCACGATGGGCGCGCTGATCGGGACGAGCCACGTGTCGTACACCGCGCCGATCAAGCTTCGCAGCTCCTCCTCGTCTGTCAGCACCAGCTTGGCCAACACAACCACGAGCTCTTCCAGCGCCTGGGGTTTGTTTTTGCCGCCTCGGCCACCTGCGTTCGCCGTCGCGGCGATGCTTGCTCCTGCCTCCATCAGCTGCTTCTTTTGCGCGGGCTCGGTCGCCTCCTGCGCCATCCAGGCCGGCTCGCTCAGCGGCATGGCTGCCACGATCAAGATATTGATGAGAGCTCCTGTCAAAGATATTCAGCACTCGAGGTAAATGACTACAGACATGATCTTGATAATCAGGGAGTGTGGCTGCATGATATTCACAGATAGGGCACTGCAAGTCGGCAATTTCACTGAGTGGCTCCTGCGAGTACCCCCCACCAGCATAACAGCAGCCACGAACCATCGAACTGGATAGATGCCTTCCTGCAGTAACTTTGCTCGAAAACAGTGCCAGGCAGGAGGGACATTGATTGGTAACACACAGAACATGTCCCAAAGACCGATAATGATGGTGAAAACGTAGATGACTCAGTGCCGATTTTTTGTCAGTAAACTTAGCCCCACACCGACACCTCCTCCCCGTAGGTACCCCCTCCTCCGTCTCGTCGGCCTGCACCCCACAAACCCACGAAATAACGCCTCCATCCTCCACCTCGGCCTGAACACATTGACGCTCTAGATAGTTGTCCACGTATTCTGGAGGGGCGATAGAGACTGTATGAAGACGACGACGGAGGAGGGTGAAATCTATCTTGCAAAAATCTCGAGCGAGTTCGTGATCCCACCACAACGCCAGGATGGAGCCCTGCAGCTTAGCGAGCAAAGCCTCGCCCTCTTCCACACACTGCAAGGCCTCAAGATCAGCCTGAAACTGGCGCGCCCAAGGATTAGCATAAGCCGTCAACCGGCCCATATAATCATACTGCTGCCTTTCATCCGTCGGGATCGCGCCGAACAGCGCCGTGAGTATCTGCTCATGACGACCAGGGTACCTAACACATTGCGCAAACCAGCCGAGTCTCCTAATCCAGTGCAATAAGACCTTCTCATTCGAAAGCGACTCGATGTGATTGTCCCCCTCGAAGCTAGCTCCCCTCATAGCGACACGAGCGTATCGAATAACATAAGAGTCGATCTTTTTGCACTGAGCTTCTGAAATCAAATAAGCTTCCAAATTCATGATGCCACAGTTCTGAACGCCTAGTAGACAAGAACGACGTAGTCGAAAAGGGGCCCCTGGAGTACTCCAAAACCTTCCGAGAGCATGGAACGACGGCTTAATAGCCACGATACGCTTTGATGACTCTGGTCCCAGCGAGCCCGACGAGTGTATCTGGCCTCCCAAGACACGCATAGAAGGGTGCACACCTCCAGAAAAAAAGCTCGGGACCAACAGCACGTAATCGGCGATTGGCAGAAACAGCGCCTTGACCAGTGAGGCAGACAATCGTATTTTGTTTTGCAACGTTCTGTGCCCACCCTCCTCCCGCCAGGGCCTCATCCAGTAAACGATTGGAGTGCTCGTTCGCGCTCGACAGCTCAGACAAGCCTGCATCCAGCATGCTGCCTGACGGGCCGCCTGCAATGTGCATCTTAGTCAGATCCTCTGCGTACTTGGTGAGACTTGAATCCAACAAAGTGCCCGAGATCGGACATTCAGCAACCGAAAGTCGATCGTGTCGAGCGTATCGTAAAGAGCTTCACCCCATGCCTCCACGGGAATCTCATAAGCTCTGCCAAAGCTTTCTACAGCATACGGGTCCCCCATAAGTGCACCACAGCGCGGTCGGACCACTAAAACTCTGTCGCTGGCAGGAAGTTGTATCGTGGCCTCTCGAAACCTTGCCATCCCGAAGTTCATACCCTGGGGTTCCAGAAGAAGAGTGTTAGCTTGCTCCAGGAGATCCCAAGACGTCGAAGGGAAAGCGTTACTCAGATCTTTGTTCAACCAACTAGTGTTGTATCCACTAAGCCGACACCTGTGTGACATGATTTGTATAACCAACATGGCCCCTTCTGTTCTCCTTCCCCGCGAGAAACCGTAATCGTTTGGCCCGAGCGGTATTAGATACTTCCGATATATAGCCCCCGCCAGCCAGGCCTTACCCAGCGGATCCAACAAGTGTATGACCCTTTTACCTTTAGGGCCTGGGGCTGAGGACTTGGGGAGCGCACAGCCGAACGACCTATTACACATCTTAGGGAACCTGCCTGCAAATCTGATGCATTCGAGACCATTTAGAAGAGAATGGTAAACAGCAGTGGCATCTAGCTCGCGCTCTGCACCGACTCCTAAACGATCGGGGCGAACACTAAAATCTGGATGAATAGCCATGCCCCACAACTCAGCGGGGACAGTCCATGGTGGACAGGAACGCCTCTTGGGCGCTCGGCGTAACTACTTTGCGATCGAGAGCATATCTGTAAGTGCTTCCACTGAGAATATTGAGTGTGAACCCTGTTTTACCTCCTCCGTCTCCTCGCCCTCCTCGGTAGTAACTTCCACCGCCTCCATCCCACCTTGTGGCCCCTCCAACCCCCAGACAGACATCCACTCCTCAGAAGTGAGAGCAGCACCCTGTAGGTGTCGAAAAGAGCGCCCTCGAGGGCAACGACCTCTTGCCGCAAGAAGTCGTATCAGACGATGTGCCTCCTTCAGGTTCCTGATCCTCCACGCCTCCTCCAACTCCTCCGTCACTTGCTCCCTCCACTCCACCATGTGCTGCTTGCGGATGTTTGCGCAGTGCTTGCTAAGCTCCTTCAGCTCCTTCTTGATCCTCTCTTCCTCCTCATCGTTCCCAGCCTCCCTGAAATTAGAGCGAACCTGAGGGCGTTGACGCAACAGATCTCGGCGTTGCTCCGCATGCCGCCGATATGAAGGGGAAGCCTCAGCTGTCGTGCCTCCGAAGACTTCGCGCCCAGCAGACTGAAATACATCTGTCAGGCACTCAAAGTAGCGGTTCGGCTGCCCGCTGGTGAGAGAGTCTGTGAGTACGTCTTTATTCTGCTCAACCAGCACGGCAGCCTTGGCGAGAAGTGTACGGCGTGCTTCTGCCAACCTCAGGGCGTCGAAGTTCCAAAAGATTCTATATGGGGAGAGCTCTTGGGGGTCCACGTGGGTCCAGTTGAGGTTGCAGTGCAGGGGCGCATGATCTCGGAGATGCCGAGATGGGATGAGTTGATGTCTACGCATGAGCCCCAGCAGAGGCCCTCCCGAATGGACAAGACGTTGAGCGCCCGCGGGCCCGAATATGTAATCAACTCTGCTGCAGCTATCACCCTGCCCAAACCAGGTTGGTTCAACGTGACTCCGAAGCCCCAGAAGCACCATGCCATACTCCTCCATCACCTCCCGCACCAAGTGCCCCGCGCCCCCAGACAGATTCTCCCTGGTCGAGAGCTCCTCCGAGACAACTGTGGTCCCGCTATAGACCCAATTTTGATCTTCCTTGATAAAACCTATGCCGTCGTTCAAATCCATGCAGACAAGAGGCATCGTTCTAGAGCTGCTAGCCAGGTCCGCGAAGACCTTTCTCAACCACGTGGTCAGCCTGGATACGGTCGCGAAGTAGTTGGGTCTCCCTTTTACACCCCGTGGTCGTGGCGGAAAGTACAGCCCCAGGATAGATAAGTCTTGTCCTTTACGTTTGACGCGGACTCCAAAACCTCTGCCTCCGAGCTCAGCACCTGTGACCCACTGGCGGACAATGTGCGACTCCCTGAGGCCGCAGCTGAGCGAGATGGTGATGCCCGAGCTCTTGTTAGTGTAAGCCCCTGCACGCCAGCCAGCTTCGAACACGAGTGTCTTATCAATCCGCTTCTTCTCTACCTGCCCGTCGAACTTTGCTCGAACCTGCGTGCCGACGAAGACGCACACGTGAAATGTCTTTGCAGTCTTTGTGACGATTTCCTCAAGTCGGTCAGACTGACTTAAGCTGAGAGGGTTCCAATGAAGCAGACGCAACATACAGAAGATGGCGCCACGCTGGCGATGCGTGACCGAACGGCCCAAAGCGTAACGTTCGGTAAACTAAACTTGTCACTGCGTTGTGTGTGTGTGTGAAGGTGGGTCGGGCGGCGCTGCATCGGGCCACCTTGGAGGAGGAGGAGGAGGAGGAGGAGGAGGAGGAGGAGGAGGAGGAGTGGAGGAGGGGGGAGGGGGAGGAGGGGGGGGGAGGGGGAGGGGAGGAGGGGAGGAGGAGGAGGAGGAGGAGGAGGGGGAGGAGGAGGAGGAGGAGGGGGAGGTGGGAGAGGAGATGCTCTGCACGCCGACGTCGCCGACTCATCGGCGATGCCTCGCCGATGCATCTCGGCGATGCGCCGGCGCTGCGGCACGGCCCTGGGGCCCCATCGACTCGGAGCCCAGCTGGCAGGGGGCCTATGGCTGGCCCCCGCCTCGGGGTCCAGGCCCTTTGTGGGCCCTGGAAACGGCAGGGCCGTTTTTTCACCGTTTCCAAAAAAATGTCCCTTGAAAATGGAAGCGGCAAGAAAATGGCGACCGGAAACGGCAAGAAAACGGCTCCAGGATTGGAACCGGAGCCATAACTGGTCAAACAACGGCGACGGAGCCGGTGAAAAAACGGCGTCGGAACCAGCAAAAAAACGGCAAAACGGAACCGGTAAAAAAACGGCCTTGTCGTTTCCAGGGCCCACTAAGTCCAGGCCCCACCTCCCTTCAGGTCTGGCGCGCCTCCTGCCAGAGGACTTGGCATCGCTCGGACGTGTGCATGTTCCCTTCGGCGAGGACCATCGAGGAGCATCCTAGATCATTTGGCGAAAAAGCCACGCACGAAACCGAAAAAAGCACAGGGAGTGGACGTCCGAGCGATGGCCAGAGGAAGCTCCGGCTGCCTCCTCAGAACGACTCCTCGGATGCCTCCGAGCCCCTCGAGGGAGCCCCACGACCTCCTCGGAAGGCCTCCGCCTGGGCCCCATCCCCCCTTCTGCGCCCCACCATCAGCTCCGGTCGCGCCCGAAGCCGCGCGAGAGCGCGCCCCCCTGTCCTCGTGACAGTTGACATTCAGTCAAGATCTCTTTTCAAGTGTACGATGTGTATCGTATCTCGGCCGAGTGAGGCCAGTTCCTGTCAGAGCTCCATCTGGCAATGTTTCATAAACGTCGTCTCACTCTTGCGATATTTTTCAAGAAGTCGTTGCCTCAGGGCGCGCGCTGAGCACGTAGTCTTTTTTAAACTGGCCGGCTGTGGGCGAGCTTCGCTTGTCTAGAGCACAGGTCGCACACGGATGCGCCATTCTCATTTGGCAGGAATGGAGCCGCGGAAAAGGATAGGGTTATTTCGGGGTCCTCGTTTCTCCTCGTCCTCGACTAATCCTCATCCCCTCCCTCATCCTCTCCCTCCCTCTACCTCCTTGCCTCTCCTGCTCCTCGATCTCCTCCACCTCCTCGTTCTCGGGTCGGACAAGGGGGGGGAGAGATTGGGAAAGGGGGCTTTCTGGAACTGCTGCATTCAGCTAGTTCCGGCCTCGCAGCTGGACGCATTCCTGATGCATGGGGCACTCTGGTGAGGGCCTCTTCGAGGCTCGAAGGAGTTGGCATCGCTTCCCCGGCGGAAGTACAACGACGGCGGCCCCGCCCGGCAGAAGGCCGGCGGAGGTGACAGCTGCGTTCCCCAAGAGGTGGCAGCATCTTTGGGTTCAGGGTCCCGGAAACCGACGATGAGCGCTTCCCAGGGGAACTGGCTACGTACTAGAGCTGATGTGTCCACCCTACTATTGTTCGATCGCTTCGCTCACTCCGCCGGCCCAGCTCGTAACACTGTCGGCACTGGCTTGCGTGCTCGCGGAGGTAGTTTGGGAGCCTCGACATATGAATTCGGGAGGGGGAGAAACAAACACAGACACAATTCATCGCCGGCCTCCAGGAACATATGGGAAAATATGGGAAATGGGGGGAAAGACGAAAGCCCAGAAAATATTGAAAAGATGGGGGATCCTGGGACTTTTGTTATTTTGTGTGTGTCCCAGGGCGTCTTCAAATTCGAATTTGAACATGTGATGTGTGACGTAGTTTCTCCTACCTCCAGACGACGGCGGCGGAGAAGGAGCCATCCAGGCGCGCGTGGGGCGAGGCCCCAGCTGCTTCGCCAACCCTCTCTCTATCATCTACCCTGTCGTCCGTCTCGAGATTCCTCTTCCTCTGCCGCACCCGGCCTTCTGCGCCCAAGCCCCTAGTCATTCTCTGCTTGTTCAACCAAGGCGGTTCGCCTTCTCTGCCCGCCCAGTCCAGCTTTCGCCACAAGAGACGCAGACGGCGCCACAACGATATGACAATATTCCGACAATGGTGAAATATTCCCGCCACAAGTGTGTTTTGTATTTTCTCCTGCGCTCAATGTCTCCTCCATCCCGTCGCCGAGTAGGCTCAGGCATGCCGCGCGGCCGAGGGATGTTCATTCGTCGCTTCGTCGACTGCCCGTCACCACTGCCAGCGGAGCAGTGGCAGGGGCGCTAGCTCTCTTTACCCCTTGCTCTCCATCCGCAGGAGGCCAAGTATAGCCAGAACACGGCCCCAGACCAGCCAAAGGCGGTCCGAAAACAGGATCGGGCGGGCCTGGGACAAAGGATCAATCCGTTCCAGAGCGTTCGGGAGCGCTCTCAGAGCCTTCCCGGAGCGCTCCGAGAAGGCCGCCGCGCCCGACCCGTCCTCCAGAGCCGCCGAGTCTCCAAGATTCCCGACTTGTCGCTATCCGATGTTGCCCTTGTCGTGGCATCGTCTCACGTAGACCCGGACAGGTCCCCGACCTCCCGACCGCTTCCCCGGGACCGGTCCCTGGTCCCGAGAGTCGTTGCTTCACGGCCCGAGGCCCGGCGAGGACTCCGAGAGGCAAACAAAAACGACGAAGCACCTCCGCCTCGATTTCGTTCGAGACGCCCGATGTCTGGGTTCCTTCCCCTGTCGCGCGTCCTCGAACTTCCTCCCTCGCCGCTCGTCCCTCTCCTGGTCGCTCCGCCTCGCCTCGCGTCCCCGCTCGTCGTGCGCCCCTCCCTCCCTTCGTGCGCCCTCCTCCTCTTCCTCCTCCTCCTCCTCCTCCTCCTCCTCCTCCTCCTCCTCCTCCTCCTCCTCCTCCCTCAAAGCGCAAGCTCGGCCCGAGCCCCTTCTGGGCTCCCCGCCAGTCAGTGCCATCGGAGCTCTCGCTCCGTCCTCTCCTCCCCGCGGCGCCCCCGCTGGCCAAACCGGTCGGCGGCCGAGCGGGAGGCCCAGCACCGCAGGGCCGAGGGCCGCGCGGTGCAGCGCCTTCTCGGCGCCTTCGAGGAGTCACGCGGCCATCGCGGCGCCGAGCCGACGCGCCTTGGCGCGGCGCTCGCGGCCGCGCTCGCGCAAGCGCCCGCGGTGGGCCCTGAGGAGGCTGGTTGCGCTCCTGGCGGTGGCGGTGCTGCCGAGGGCGATGGCGGCCCAGGCGCGCTCGCAGCTGCCTCCCCTCTCCCTGGGCTTCGCGGTCGTGGCGACGAGGAGCGCGCTGTCGGCGGGGCCGCCTCGGACGCCTTCGAGTCTCCCTTGGAGGTGCCGCAGGAGCCAGTCAAGGCGGAGGCAGAGGCGACGGCCACCATGGTGGAGCCTTCGGCGACGTTGGCGATGCAGGCTGGGTGCGACAGTGCCGCACAGAGATGGGAATCCAGCGCGGAGCGGGCTCGGTTCCCCAGCGATGCCGATGTCCTGCGTGGCGGTGCGCCGAGGCGCGTGTTCGGGCCCCCACGGGGGATGACTGCCCAGCAGGGAGGCGCTGCTGGCCAGGATCCGGGGGCGGCGGTCGCGACGGGGCCGAGGATCGACTGGAGCGCGGTGCAGGCGGCTCCAACGACGGTCTCAGGCGCGACCCCGGCAGACTGCAAGCAGAGCTGACCCCACTGGTTTCCTGAGAAGGAGCAACGCCGCATACCCAAGGAGGCCACTAGAGAAGAGGGAGGCGTGTACTTGGGGAGCGGCAGCCGCGTACCCAGGGAGGCGCCTAGTGAAGAGGGGGGCGTGTACCTGGGGAGTGGCCACAGCTGTTCAGGGGTGTACTGCATGGACATGCTGTAGCTGTGGTGCTCTCGTATGTTGGCAATGTTCGGGGATCCGTATACATATCATCCCCTTTCTTGTGAAGCAACATGATCAGTCGTCTTGCATATGTGGGATATGCTGAAAACGATGTTTGTGGCTACGGGCTTTACTATACCATTCACTTGTGCTTTGCTTCTCGCGTTTCGTGTGTCATGCGTCCGCACGAGTAAGAGACTCGCTTTCTCGTGGGCAAATGGCCCTTGAGTTTACGTCCGGCGTGCCATGCGTGCTCACCGATCAGAGGCTCGTTTTCTCACGGGCTATTGGCCGATGAGTTAGCCCCGCCCAGGCCGAGGTCGTCTCGTTTTGTTTGGCAGGGTGACGTTCCCCATCGCTTTACGACTGCTCCATTCCAGTCCAGTCCTCCTCCCTCTCTCTCTCTCCCTCTCCCTCTCCCGTTCCTTGCCCCTCCTCCTCCTCCTCCTCCTCCTCCTCCTCCTCCTCCTCCCTCCTCCCTCCTTCCTTCCTTCCTTCCTTCCTCCTCCCTCCGCCTCCTCCCTCCTCCTCCCTCCTCCTCCGTCCTCCTCCCCCTCCTCCTCCTCCTCCTCTTGGGGAGGGCCCCCCCCCCCGAGCGGCGAGGTCGCAGTGGGCGGGGCACTTCCGCTGGCAGCTGGACCAGCTGGCGGAGCTCCTGGCGCGGCTGAGCTCGCGGGCGCCGCGGCAGGATCCGGCCCCGGCCCCCCCAGGGCAGGGCTCGCTTGGATATATCTTCGATCCGCTTCGCTTCGACCCCGATGGCTCCCGCTTCGCTTCGGTTCGAGTCCGCTGGCTTCCGACTCGTTTCGGTGCGACTCTCCATCTTGGTCCAGATGCCCCAATTTGCTGGTGGAGGCCGATTATCCTGCGGATTCGACTGCCCCTGGCTGCGGCTCGGCTGCCGATGTCCACCGCTCCGAGTCCTGTCGATATCGCCGGCTCGGCTTCTCGACCCGCTGCCGGGCTCGCCTGCCGGGGGCGCGCGCCCTCGGACAGGGCGCGGTGCTCGCCGCGCGAGGGGCCCTTAAGCCGTGTCCCCCTCACTGGGAAGGAACGGCTCGAGTAGGGGATCGACTACAAGATCGATGTGCCCCAGGTTTGGCTTTCCCGTCGATTGCGCGGGCAAAGCATGCGCCCCTGGGGGGCGCGGGGGCTACGAACGCTGATGTTCGTAGAGATGCGAACGTTCAGATTCGTAGACCTACGAACATGAACGCTCGTAGCTTTAAGTCGGGCCCGCCCCTCTGCAGCAAGAATATTCAGCAATAGTAAAAAAAGGTAGTCCGGGGACGATTGTTCGATTCTTGTTGAGGATTGTTTGAATCATTGTCTGCGTACTTGTATTTTTTCGCCCAAAGTCCCCCTGTAGGGGGACAGGCCCGACCGAATACGAACATTCGCTTTCGCAGCCCCCGCGCCCCCCCTGGATGCGCCCGCCGCGCGAGCGGCCCGCGCCTGTTCGCTCGGGGGCCCCCGCTCGGGGTGGTGACCACACGGGGTGGTGGCTCGGTCCTGCCCCCTCTGCGCGGGGGGTATTCCAAAATATTGGTCCGGGGACGATCTTGGGTGCAATTTTTGCACATGTTTGAGCATGTGTGGTGTGTGTTCTATTTGTTGTCCAAGATCCCCCTGCAGGAGGACATGCCCGACCTGAACCAAGGCGGGAGTCGGCCCCAGTAATCCAGCGCATGGCAAAAGTCAAGACGGAGGTTTTTCGCCGTTTTCGGCTTCTTCTAGAGGACCTCGCCGGGCCTCGGGGCCGTCAAAAAACGACTCAGGACGAAGAGCCGGTCCTGAGGGCTGGGTCGAGACTTCCGAGTACCCCGCATTGAAAAAATCACGACATCGGATATTTGGGGTGGGGATTCGGGGAAATCGCACGGTTTGGGGACTTGGGTCGTTCTCCGAAGATGTCTCGGGCGAGTGGGGCCTCCAGGGTTCCAAAACCGCGCGGTGACGGACCCTATGGCGACGTCTTTGGAGATTTCGAGGTCACCGCCGGGTCTGTCACCAAACGCTTTTGGGACCCCCAGTTCTCTCGCACTGAGCAAGAACACTTCGAGTAGGGCATCGACGACAAACACGGATGCACCCCAAATTTGGGTTTCTCGTCGAAGCTACCAGCAAACATACGTATATAACGTCGAAGCTACCGATTTGCCCTCCATTTCCAAAGAGCTCGGCCGGGCAGGTCGTGCTGTGTCTCCGGGTGGTGGCGCGCAGCGCGCGCGAGCGTCGTGTGG